CAGCGCCGCGTGCCTGGCCAGCCCGAGGTCCCAACGGACATTTTGACGCACTCGGCGTTGGCCAGGATGTAGTGCATGGAGGATGACGGTTAATAGATGACCGGGGGTCGTGTTCACGCGGCGGCGCCCGGGATGACGATTAGAAAAAACCGGCCGCGGGCTGGACAACTTTTTTCTTTTCTTTTTATAAAAAACCGTTCTCCTGCAGTCAGAAAATTATGCAGAAATAGAAGAAAACTATTTGTTTAATCGTTCTCCTCCATTTTTTTATTAATCGTCATCCCCCATTAGTCGAGGCGGGATGGGGTGCCGTGGTCAGGCACGCAGGTGGGCCCTGCCGCGGCCATCAGGCAGGGGCCACCCTGCCAGGGCCAGCACTCCCGAGAGGCCCACGGCCTCCAGGCTGGCACCGTGCCGAGGCCACGCGGCCTCTGGAAGCCTTCGAGGGTCAAGTCGGCGTTGCGCTCCTCGCACCCTCCGCCCGGAAAGCCGCAGCAGCTCATAATGTAAGCGGCCCCGGCCTGCCCGAAGCAGATTGCAACGTGTTGGTGGTGCCCTGGGTGCCTGTGCGATACACCACATAGCTTGCACTACATAGAGCTTGCACTGCCTATAGTCTACCACATCGCGTTCACCGCATATCTTGTGGCACATTGCTTGCGTCACACATATTGCACCACTTCGCCTTCACATCCACAGTGCAATAAATCATTGTTTGGAGTCCCTGCTGGCAACTGTTTGAATGGCCTCTGGCTAGTGTCGCCATGGCATTGCGAGTAACGAAGGTGTTCGGGGTTCGAGGTGTCTGGAGTTCTGCGCTGGTTCTTAGTTCAGCGCTTTCGCTTCCGAGTAATACCGAATTAAACCCCAACCAGTGGATGGCTTGAGAATTAGTGATATGGACACTGAGATCGATTGTAGGTTCGATAGTAAGGTCGAAAGTGGGATCGATGGCGAGGACGATCGTAAGGCCGATCGTGAGACCGGTAGTGAAGTCGAGTCAGTCAGATCGATAGTGTGATCGAGTGTGAGATCGCTCGTGCGATCTATAGTTAGATCGATTGTGAGATCGATAGTCCGATCGATAGTGAGATGGCGAGAAAGGAGATCGACCAGGAACCCAGGAACCCGGCCGGAAACCTGGGAACCCTGCCGCCCAGCGAAGTCGGCCCAGAACCCGGAGCCGGGACCCCGGGAGCCCGGAACTGGGAACCAGGGAACCGGGCGGCCGCCGGAGTCGGGCGCCGACTTTCGCCAGATCCTTCAAGATCAGCCAGGACCCCTTCAGTGCAAGCACGGATTGGGGAATCAGACCATGCACCTCCAACCTGACAGCGCGCGAGGCGGCGCCCCTTGGGGCCTCTTGATGGCTTTCTGCGGGTTCCGTGGGGGCTTCTTGGGGTCTCCTGGGGGCCCGGGAATTCTTGGGGGCCTTTTGGAGGCCCTTTGGAGCCTCATGGGGGCGCCTCGGGTGCCTGCTTTGGGATGAAGGGCTCGTAGAGTCCGTTCGAGTTCCCCTCTTATGCCCCTCGTGGGGTCGTCTTTGGGGCTTCTTGGGGTCGTCTAAATGGCCTCCTTTGCCATCTTGGGGCCCTCTTGGGCCGTCTGAGGGCCTTCTTGGGGGCCTTTTCCCATGTCCACGGGCGGTCTTGGAGGTATCTTTGGCCGAATCGGCGGTTTTGTTAAAATCATGCCACGCAGATTTGGTCCTCTTAGGCCCTTCTAAAGGGGCCCTCTTGGGGCTCTCTTGAATCGTCTGGGAGGCCTCTTGGGTGGTCTTGAGGCCATCTTGGGCGTCCTGGAGCGCCCTTGGTTCATTACATTCGCCGTTTCGACCGTGTTGGGGCGGTTGGGCAATGTAGTGCTCCCCCTTCCACCCCTGCCCCGGCAGAGCCACCCTGGCATACCCTCCCAGCATAGCTGACGCTCAGGCTGTAGCTTCAGCATACAGTGGAGACCCATGCCAAGAAGCAACCTGCAACTCGGGTTTGTCGTCTTCTTTTGACGAGCGCGTCATGGATTTTGACGGTCTGGTGTTCGTGGGATGTTTGCAGCGGGAGCTCGCGTCAGATGTCAGACTGGGTCTCGTCAATGTCATGATGGCCCCGTCAGGCCAACCCGAGTCCCCCGTACCCGAATTTTGCGCCTCACCGAACTATCGTCATCGCCAGCGTCAGCATTACCATCGCCATCATCACTATCATCACCATCGTCGTTGTGATCACCAATGCTATCGTCAGCATCGCCATCGTCGATGCCGACGTCATCATCCTCGCAATCGTCTGAGACATCATCATCATCATCATCATCATCATCATCATCATCATCAGCATCAGCATCAGCATCATCATCAGCAGCATCATCATCATAATCATCGTAATCATCATCATGTTCAGATTCATATTCATCTTCCTCATCATTATCGTCAGCATCATTATCATCATCATAATCACCAACATCACCGTCACCATCGCCATCATCATCGTCGTCGTCGCCAAAGTTGTCGTCACCATCATCACTCGCTCGCCGAGTCGTTGATTAGCATTAGCATGGGCCGCTAATCAGTGTGCCATCTCAGATCTGCGAGCAAGTCCAGAGGGGAAGCTGCACTCATGACCTTCGTGGGCTTTCGCGAAAGCGTTGCGGGTGGGTTGGTGGGATGTTTGCTCGACAGTGGAAGGTCACGTGCAGATGCCAACACATCGTTGCACCACATTTTTTCTTGACGGTGACCTTCGAGGAGCATCCCGGATCATCTCGCGAGAAAGTACACGCACGAGGCCGGAATTTGCAAGGGGGAATGGACGTCCGAGCAATGGCAAATTGTCCACACCGCATATTGATTCATCCGTGTGTATACGCAGACCTTCCTTTTAGGCGCACTGCAGCATCCATGTTGGAGCCCAGCCGCAACTCGAACCCGAGACGCCGCCGATCAAAGCAGCGCATACAGATTTCGCACCGCTTGCACGATGTGCTGATTCCCCTTGGTTCCATGGTCGCGAACACGTTTTTTGTAAACAAAATCGTCATCGAGGCTTACGCGGTACTCCAAGAGCTACAGGAGAGCCAGCACATTCAGGCAAATGTTGGGTCCGGTGATAATGAGAGCCAAACTGTTTTGTCTTCCACTCACACCTGCATGAGCATCTGAGCACTCCACAGCGTGCTCATTGCACGTTGGCAGATTTGCTGGGATATGCTTATTGTTCCGTTGGCTGTCTTCTGCTTTCCGGAGAACAGACTTACCTTCGCGATGGATCTTCTAACGCTCGTGTATTGGACATTGAATGTGCCACATACTCTCACCATGGGCTACGAAGCGGGGTTGGTGACCGTGCGGTCTCCGTGGCTGATTCTTTTGAAATACATGAGGACATGGTTCATTGTGGACATGGTGGTGTTGGTGCCAGATTGGGTCATTGTGTTGCTCAGCGTCGGAGTCAGGTTTGAACGGGCTACGTCGTGCGATAGTGCTGTTGAGGGCGCTGGGATCGTCAGGCTGCTCAGGAATTTGCGCATCGTGCGTCTTCTGCGGCTCGCCCGGATTGCGCGGCTCAGGAAATTGTGGCAGATCTTGAACGAATGGATCTCTTCACAATCAGTCAACATCGTGGCGAATATCACTGGGATGTTGATGCTCTTGCTGACCCTCAGCCACTTCATAAGCTGCATGTGGTATGCAATCAGTAACCAGATGGAGGGCGACGACAGATGGCTTATCCATTACAACATGAATGAGAAGAAGTGGAACTACTTGTATGCGACTTGCCTCCATTGGTCATTGACGCAGTTCACTCCAGCGCCTATGGATATCCAGCCTCAGAATTTTCTTGAACGCGTCTTCGCGATCTCCGTAGTGGTTTGCGCGTTGGTCGGCTTCTCCTACGTAGTCGGCAGTATCACTGGCAGCCTTGCACAATTTCGGAGCCTGAAGGAGGAGAAAACTCAACTGTTTTGGGATTTGCGAGTTTATTTGAAGCGTAACGCTGTGGAACCGACCCTTTCCATGCGCATCCAACGCTACCTTCATCACGCATGGCGCTATCAGGCTCGCAACAAGACTTTCTCGCAGATCAAGATTTTGACGATGCTGTCAGAGCAGCTCCAAAATGAGCTGCTGTTTCAACTGCATTCGCATCTTACCATATACCCGCTTGTCCGAAAGTTGCTGGAACTGTCGAAACTGACTGCGTTCAGGTTGGCGAGGACGGCAATCTCCACCAAACAGTTTGCAAACACTGACCCCCTTTTCATACACGGTGAAAAGCCGAGCCACATGTACCTGCTGGTGCAGGGGCGATTCCAGTACAAACGCCTGACCTCCGAGGGCAAGGTGGTGCGGGAGATGGTCGACAAAGGCGAGGACTGGATCGCGGAGCCCGCGATGTGGTCGACGGAGTGGTACAATCTGGGCGACTGCACCGCGGCCGACCAGAGCAGCCTGACGCTGGTGAGCCCGAGCCATTTCTGCCAGGAGGCGAGGCGCAACCCGTCGGCCTGGGACCTTGCCTCCAGGTACTGCAGGAACTTCGTGTGGTGGCTGAACGCGGCAGAAGCCGACGAGCTCTCTGACATCACCCAGGGCGACGACCCGGACAAGCAGGCGCAGCTGAGGGGCTTCATGGTCTACGACCCGGCCCCCGCCTGGCAGCTTGGCAAGAAGCGCAGCAACCACGCACCAAACCCAGAGGGGTGCTGAAGTCAGCCCTAGAGCCACCGCTCGAGAGTCGCCCCCACTGGCCCTTGTATTCACGATGGCTGTGATCTGGGGGGAAGCGTCCTGATTTTTCATTCGCTGCCTCGACGCCGAGGCGTGCAAGGCTGAACGCCATCCATGGCTCGATTCGGACTTCATGTCTGGCAGCAAACAGCCTGCGGTGCGAAGTCCACGCGTGCGGAAGGTGTAGTGGACGCCCTGTGGGGACTTCCGAGGGACGGTCCGCACGGTGGCATAAGAATGGTCAAGGCAGAAATCGGCCGTAGTGGAATGCACGGTTCACTTTCACATGCGAAGGCCGGGGTGGGGGGGCGGAGCGGAGGGTTCCAGCCCCGTTCACGTGCGCCGATGATCAAGCGGGCGATTCCTTCTTTTCACCCAGCGTCTTGGCAGAAGCTTCGAGAGAGATGGCAGTTTGTCGACTATCCGTGCACGGTAGGCGCACCTCTTGCTCCAGAGTTCCCCGAAAGGGGAACACCATTGTTTATAAAGCGTTTTCTTCTGTGGGCTGAATCTCAGCGCGGACTGCACTTCGGGCGAGCACGCGGTCGATACTTGACCCAGCGGGGCTTTTCTTCTTGCCGTCACAGTTGCGGTCGGTTGCGGGGCTGCGTCTTGCCCCGAGGTTGCGAGAGAGCAAGAGGGCAGCGGGGTTAAAGCGGCAGGCACGACCATGCGGGTCCCTGCTCTCTGCTATTCGCGTCTTGACGCCTCGCGTGTTTCACCAGGGCCCATTCGGAGACAACCTCTTCGTGAGCGGCGCTCAACCGTGTCCAGACCACAGGGGAGGGGGGAGGGGAAGGAGTCAGGATACCGCCCCAAAGGGCGGCCGTCCTGCCAAGAGTATGCATCAAGAAGTGGCACCAACAACGTCTGCACCAGTCAATAGCAAGGAACAGCCACAGACATCAAGACCCGCCATCAATAACCTGCGCCACACACACACACACACCAACATCAGACACCCAACACCATCATCAAGACTGACACAGCAACCCTACACCACAACCAGACACCAGCATACGCATTAATAGCATACATCACGAGCACATTCCTGGAACGCACACGACAAATAGACATCAATAACTAACACCTGGTGTCCCGCACACCAAGACCGCGTACATATGTATCCCGAGTCTACTCGCATTAATAACATCCTGCACTGACTTAGATCGAGCACCTGCACGGTTAATTCGATAACATACCAGGAACGGGCACCAAGGACGGAAATTGACAACCTACGTTGGGAACGCAATCTTGATGTATTGGATGTATCTCCAAGGTGGGATTGCCCGAAGGTGCTGGGTGGGTATGGAGTGGATGGTAGGGGGAGGGCGGGGGGGGGGCATCGATCCTGCGTTGGGACCCTAACGATTGGGCCCTGGGCTGTTTGTTAATATGGAGCAGTAGGGCGCTCCTCCTCGAAAGGGAATAGTGGAGTTCGGACACGTCGGAACGTTAAGCCACTTACGCCCAGAGGCTGATGGGAGTCACTCCTCCGCTGAATTGCGTAGTCCGACAGCCGCACTGTGCCACTCAGGCCGATCTCCCGATCCGTGCTGTGATCGTGGAGGTGGTACTGAATATCTAGCACTCCAGCATGGAGTTTTTCCGGCTGGGAAGCCGCCGTGCTGTTTTTTGTTGCCAGCGGCGCATTGCGGTAGCGACCGTTCGTTTAGCATCGCTTGGCACTGGTGGAGCAGACAAGGCCGTGGCGCTGGTCATGGCCACGCAGAACCGAGCAATGCTCATAGTGCTCTGGGTGTGATTGTGCTGCTGCTGCTGCGGCTTCTGGCCTTTGGGAGCCCTCTCTGCGTCCTCCGGCGGCCTTGTGGGCCGTCTTCGAGGTATGGGGGGCCACCTGGGGGGTCGCCTGCCTCTGCCACACCGTCGCCCTCTTGCTCCTCGTGACCTCCAGAGGGAGGCTCCGGCCGCTCGGCCGTCCGTCTCTCTCGGGCCTCGGGCGGCCGCTCGGGACCACCTCGGCCTCCCCAGGAGGGCCCTCGACGAGGCGCAGCTGATGGGGAGCGCACCCCCGGGTCCCGCCCGGCCCCCCGACGTCTCGGCGTTCTGAGCGCGCCGTGCGGAGGTCTCCAGCCCCTCCTGGAGGCCCAGCGGTTTTTTGTCCCCCAGGGTTCGTTGGTGCTCCCAACGCCCGGAGCCGGGCATGAGGGGGAGGCACCTCGAGTCGCCCCGAGGAAGGCTTGGGTGGAGGCGCCTGCCAGCGTTGGGTGCACCCGGGTGCGCCCTAGAACAGGGCGTCGCCGTCGTTGTCGTAGTGGCTGTCGTGGCTGTGGGTTTTGTCATCCCCACGGCCGCCGCCGCCGCCGTCGTCGTCGTCGTCGCTCTTGTGTACGTGGCCAGGCGGATCAAACAAAGTCACTGGGCCCACAGCCGCTCGAGCTGGGCGACCAGTACTACGTGAGGACCTCGTCCGCGGAAGCGGTCCCAGCGGTGAGGGGCGGGGGAGGAGCAGGAAGATTCGGTAGCAAATCATGGGAGCCTTGTGCACCCGCGTCTAAAGAGCGCACCAGCGTCTGGTAATCGATGAGATCGCGCCGATCTAGAATCGGTTAGCCGCGGTTCGCGTCGGTTAGCGTCGATGTATCGTCGATTAGCGTCGGTTTGCAGGAGCCAGCAAAGTGGTATAGGAGGCCCCCATGAGTTGCCAAGGAGGGGCGGAGGAAGAGGGATCGTCCGGGATCGCTCGAGAGGGCACCCGCGTGCATCAGCAGCGGCAGCACACACAGGAGGCCCTGTCCGCCCCTCGCCTCAGGGTGCGCTGGCGGGTGGAGGTTGGAGCGGCAAGCCCCTCTGCGGGCCAAGGGGATTGCACGGTTCGAGCTGGAATCGCGTAGTCGGTGTCGCCACGACATTTTTTGGGGGACGCAGAGCGTCGGCTCAATGTGGTTGTTGGTCAGACTTCGTTGCTGCCCCCTAGGAGTTCAGCCTTGCGTTTGAGAGCAGAGAATGCCTGATCCCGAGCTGGATTTCAAGGAGTAGCTCGGTGGGACTTCAGAATCTCGGCGAGCGAGCACAGGAAACGACTCATCGAAGCCGCGTGTTTGTCTTAGCCCGTTCTGGGCCCAGGCTTCACAGGGCTCGAGCAGGGCCTGAACTCGAGTTGTTCTGTCGGTGGGCGAGGAGAGGCGGGGCGTGGATGGAAGAAAGGGCAGGAGCAGATGGTTGAAGAGGACAACGATAAGGTGGAGATGGCTGAAACGGAAGTCACGGAAAGGGCATGGTTCGTTTCGATTCTTCCGATTCGATTCGATTCGATTCGACTTCGATGGATTCCGATTCGGATTGGATTCGGTTTCGAATTCTGATTTGGTCTCCGATTTCTTCTTGGACGCATACTAGCCTGCCGATTTCCGCCGATTCGACTTTTCCCGACTCGGCTGCCGATTTCCGCCGACCCGACTTGTTCCGCTCGCCGACCCGACTTCTATGTTCGACTCGGGGCTCCCCGGAAAAGGGGCGAGGATGTCATATCGAGTGGAGCGCCGCCGCAGCAGGTCCTCCACATCGGCCGACAGGCCCCCCCCTCGGAGGGCACCAACTATACACCAACACCGATCATGGCCCAGGATCACCCTGGGCCCAGGATCGGTGTATATGCCTTCTTGCGCAAGGCAGGAGGGCGTATACACCGATCCTGGGCCCAGGGTGATCCTGGGCCATGATCGGTGTTGGTGTATAGTTGGTGCCTTCCTACCCCCCGCGGCACGGCTGCCAGATCGAGCTCCCGCCCCGAGCTGCACGGGGGGCACAGTTTCGCCACCGCCGTGCCTGCCCCAGGGGCCGACCCGGGCCTCACGATGGCGGTGCAGGTCCGCCGGAGCGCCGGATCTCGGCCAGAGAGCCCACGCCTCGTGCCAGGGCCCGGGAGGGCCCCGGCCGGGCTCGGTGGGGGGGTGCCGGTGCCTGCGGCGTGATGCGAGCCGCTGAGAGTTTGTAGTTTTGGTTCCCGCCCCTTTGTTTTGTCGGCGGTGAGCAGGACTGACTGGTCCAAAAACCTCCTCCTCCTCCTCCTCCTCCTCCCTTCTCCTCCTCCTCCTCCTCCTCCTCCTCCTCCTCCTGAGGAATGGCACGAGGAGGCCGCGGGGAGAGCTAATCAGTTACCCTCCACTGGTGGGACCCCAGGCCTTCGATAAGGCCGCCGAGAAATAATCAGCTACCACCAATTGGAGGGTGTTCTAAAGACCTTACAGGGTTAGCTTTCCCAAGCCCGTAGCCATTTTGGCTTCAGCCACCGTGCCTCTGACTCGAATTGTCCCCAGGGCTGTTGTTGTGTTGGCCCTCCTCCGTGGCCACTCCCTGGAAGACATTTCTCGAAGAGCACTCCAAGGATGCGGACGTCTTCACGCGTAAGCCTCCTGACCTGATGCATCAGCGGCATGGGAAACGCTACCAGGGCATCGCTACCCCGTGCTCGTGCCATTACAAGGGCACCCTCATCGATGGTACGAAGTTGATTCCTCGGACGACATGGATAAGCCCATAACCTTCGCGATCATGCAGGTGATCAAGGGCTGGGCAGAGGCAATGCAGCTGATGGCCGAGCGCGGCAAGATGGAGATGTGCATCCCCTCTGAGCTCGCGTATCGTCCACGTGGCGCTGGAGGAGCGTCTCATGGTGGTTTCGCGCTCGTGTCTGAGATTGAATTCATGACGATCGATATCAGTGATGACAATGCAAGGGCCTGCGGAGCGCTGGGATGTACTGTTAGCCGTTAGCCTCTCTCATCCTCAACATGTTCTGTCCTTTCCAGGGGATAACCAAGTTTTATTCCGCGCTGGAGTTTTCCCCAGAAGCAGCTGGCTAAATGGTTCACGCTTGCTGCCTCCCGCAGTTGCACATGACCCTGACACGATTGCTGAGTCGAGCTGGCAATCCTTTTGCCATGTGCGCCAACTTGATGTGCAAGTCGCCTTGACATCGAACTGTTTGTCTGCCAACGCACTCTCAAATCGACGTGTACGTCCCCCCCATCACGGATCGTAAAGTTTGAATTCCCTTAGCATTCCTCTCACATCAAGCTGGATGTCTCCACATGGGGCTCATGAACTCAATCACCTCTTGTCAATCCAAAATGCGATTTTCTGGAGTACGACTGACAGATCGGTGAAGAACATCAAGTCGAGTTCGAAGTACCCCGTTCACGCCTCCCAGGATAAAGGTGGAAGGCGAAACAGCACGCCCTTCAGGATTGACGGGCTGTTGTAGCACGCGCTCCACATGATTTTGTAAGTCACCGTAGCACGCCTCTCAAATCGAGCGAACAGCTTTCTCCTGGCATGCCTCACCATTCTCTATCCGTGCTGCTCGCATCGGCCTAATGCCCCCGCTAGTGGATATATATACGCTTTTCGAGTCGAGCGGTCGGTCGCCTTAGCACCCTTCCCAAATCGAGCCGCGGGTTCCCCAGGTCACGCTGCCCGGATCGGGTTGTGTTCTCCCCTCCGGCCCCCGCTTTCAAAATCGAGCTGCACGACCCCTTCAGTCGCCTGCCACGGCTCCCACATCTTGATTGAGGGTCCCCCCAGCATGCTCCCCCAATCGAGTCGCAAGTCGCCCTGCGCACGCGCCAAAGTCGAGCTGGGACTCCCCTCTTCAGCGTGCTTACCACATAGTGCCGACAGCCACCTTAGCACGCCTACCGCGTCAAGTTGTATGCCCCCTAGCATGTCGACTTTTACCAGTTTGAAACATCTCCCTATCCCTATGTTTGGCATCACCTTACCTCGATATCGATCTTCAGGATTCCCTCAGATTCTGAGGGCCGATCCCTAAGATTGTCATCGCTTTTGGCTTGCCCATCTTAGGGATAGGGATGAGCTCGAGGCTGGTTACACCACATCGAGCGTGAAGTCACCCGGTCGCGCATTTCGAGCTGCGCTGCAGGGCGCCCTTCTGCGTGCCTCTCGGGGGTCGGATCTGAGCGGGCCCCCCATGGGACGCCTCTCGGACCGAGCCGTGGCCACGCCAGCGCGCCCCCCGCACCGAGCTGGCAGCCCCGCCCCCCCCCGCACGCCTCTCGCGCGAGGCCCTCATCGGCGGCGGGCCAGGGGGGGGGGAAGTGGCAGCGGGCGGGCCTTGTTTCAGAGGGCTCGGAAGTCCACCAGCCCTCTGAGAACTGCTCGAAGCCTGCCCCGAGGACGCAGAGAACTCCTCAGAGGGCCACAGCGCTTCGGAGCGCCCTCTGAGAAGGCCTTCTCCTTGTCGCTTCCCCCCTCGCTCGCCGCCGATCTAAGGCACCCTGGCCCGCCTCCCAAGTCGAGACGCAGGCCGCTCCGCCGTGCTCCAAGCGCCGATCTGCCAGGCACTCCTAGCTCACTCGCGGGCCGAGCTACACGCAAGGCACGCGCCCTCCGCCTCCCCCCACGCCCTCGCTACTTCACAGCTGCACATCACGAATCTGCCCATCAGCAATAAGCAGACACAAAAAAACGTCAACCTTCGTGGACTCGGAATCTCGGTCAAGAAAACCAGCCATTTGGGTTAGAACCTGGGCGTTAACAAGGGTGTTGTTCTCTCCGCAGAACGTTCATACGTTTGGACCTGGACTTCGGTTCAGGGTGAAGGCCATCTCCTTAGCGTAACATGTTCTCAACTCCAAGCCAGGGTGTGCTACTCTCGTGCCACCCCTGACTCTATGCCGATGATCTTTGGCCACCGTTCCGCTGTCTTTTTCCCTTGCACACAATGGCACAGTTGAGTCGCCCTATGTTTCTGTTCAGTGCGATTGCTGCCGGTGTTTCAGCGGGGTGCTCCCGCTGCCGCGCGGGCCTCCTCTTTTCGAAGCGGCGCTTTGATCCCGCCCGTTCGGAATGGCGCTCTCGCCCCAGCGGGGGCCCCTGTTCTGGGGCCGAGCCCTTTTTCAAGTGTTGTCGCCCCCCCCCCCACACACAAACCTTTCCCCTCCTCGGACTTACCCTGGTCCTCCTGCTCTTCCCGCATTTCCTCCAGTCGAGTCCCTGCTGCAGTTCGTCCTCGTCCTCCTCCTTGCTCGTCCTCCTTTTCCTCCTGCTCATCTTCCTGCTCATCCGCCACCTCCTCCTCATCCTCCACCTCCTCCTCTCCCTCCTCCTCCTATGGACGCAGCTCCTCTTTTCTGGTTGCGCATGACCCGATGGGGTTTTGCTTGGAGCGCCAGGTTGGCTATGACACACGTCCGAGGATACAGTCAAACACAGTTCAATTGAAAGGTCTGGGCGGGAGAATATGGCGCGATTCCACATAGCTTGACTCTCGTCCATCTCCCGTGTCCCATCCATCATTCTTCCTTACCTTCGTGTTCCTCCCCTACCCTCCCCTTCTTCCCCCCCCTTTCCTCCACCCGTTCCATCCTTCACCCCCGCACGCACACATAGGCAGAAGACGAGGGAGGGGGGGCGGGGATGGGGAGGAGGGAACGTTCGAGCAGGAATTGGAGTACCCTGCTGTGGAAGCTCCGCAAGATCTGTAGGACAAGGGAGGCCGGGGGAGGGCTAGGCGAGGAGGGGCGGCGCTGTCGATCGGAGACTCGATACGGCGCTCGGCGCTCGGGGAGCTCAGGATGTCGATGGCGCAGCATAAGATTAAGTCGGGCATGTCCCTCTACAGGAGGAACATCCAGAAACAGTCAAAACATAGTCTGGGGACGATTGCTCGTTGATTTGTTTTACCTTTTTGTGGCATTATTCTACTATGTTTGATCTGTCCTCCAAAATCCGCCTGTGGGAGGACATGCCCGACCAGCAGAGACAGGCGGACGAGGTGGAAGAGCGGTTCGAGCGCCGTTCTGACGGCGAGGGCGGCCGAGCGGAGGGGGGCGCGCGCACCTAGCTCGCCTCCCTCCTCCGCCCCAGGCGTCCGACGATGTGATTCTTTCAGCGCGCGGCCCCTGAGTTCCCAACCCTGTCCCCAGGAGGCGTTTTTTGTTCCGCCCGGGTCCGTGTTTGGACGGTCCAGTGCCCCACGAGCGGGCCTCAGAGGCCGACATCGGGAGAGGGGAGAAAGGCGAGCACGGTGCCATCCCGACCCCGTCCCTACGAGGCGTGTTTTCTGCCCAAGAGCGGGTCCCAGAGGCCGAAACTTCGGGAGAGGGGAGGGAGGCGAGCACAGTGCCATGAGGCACCCAGCTCGCACCTCCCCTTCCTCCTCCTTCCTCCTCCTCCTCCTCCTCCTCCTCCTCCTCCCTCCTCCTCCTCCTCCTCCTCCTCCTCCTTTTCTTCCTCCTCCTCCTCCTCCTCCTCCATCTCCTCCTTCTCCTCCTCCTCCTCCTCCTCCTCCTCCTCATCCGCCTCCTCCTCCTCCTTCTCCTCCTCCTCCTCGTCCCTCTCCCCCTCCTGCTCCTCCTCCTCCTCCTCCTTCTTCCTTCTCCTCCTCCTCGACCTCATCCTCCTCCTCCTCCTCCTCCTCTCTCTCCTCCTCCTCCTCCTCCTCCTCCTCCTCCTCCTCCTTCTCCTCCTCCTCCTCCTCCTCCTCCTCCTCCTCCTCCTCCTCCCCCTCCTCCTCTCTTGCCTCCTCTCCCCTCCTCCTCCTCCTCCTCCTCCTCCTCCTCCTCCTCCTCTCTCCTCCTCCTCCTCCTCCTCCTCCTCCTCCTCCTCCTCCTTCTCTCCTCCTCCTTCCACTCCTGCACCTCCTCCTCCGCCTTCTCCGCCTCCGCCTCCTCCTCCTCTTCCTCCTCCTCCTCCTCCTCCCACCATCATCATCATCATCATCATCATCATCATCACCATCATCATCAGCATCATCACCATCATCATCATCATCCTAATCCTCATCCTCATCATTATCAGCATCATCCTCATCCTCATCATCCCCATCACCACCACCACCATCATCATCATCATCAGCATCATCATCATCAGCAGCATCATCATCATGCTCATGCTCATCATCATCATCATCATCAGCATCATCATCATCATCATCAGCATCATCATCCTCAGCATCATCATCATCATCGTCGTCGTCATCCCCCTCCCCCTCCTCCTCCTCCTCCTCCTCCCTCCTCCTCCTCCCTCCTCCCTTTCCTCCTCTCCTCCTCCCTCCCTCCTCCTCGTCCTCCTCCTCCTCCTCCTCCTCCCACTCCTCTCTCCTCCTCTCCTCCTCCTCCTCCTCCTCCTCCTCCTTCTCCTCCTCCTCCTCCTCCTCCTCCTCCTCCGCCTCCTCCTCCTCCTCCTCCTCCTCCCCAGCCGTTACGGCGCATGTGGCGACCCTGCGCGTACGCAGCGACAAACACTCGTAACGGCTAATTGTCGTTGCGGGCCAAAGCTTTCAAAGACTCCTGTCGGAGATTCCATGGCTCATGGCGGCGGTGGCGGCAAAGGCGCGGCGGCTGGCAAAGGCGCTGCTGTTGCTTCTGCTCGGCGCACTTCAATGCCACCATGGACGGAGGAGCGTCGTCGCCGTTGGGGAGGAACCTGGACTCGCACCTGGCCTCGTGATACGAGCCAGGACGAGGACTGGGACTGGTACATCTCCGATGGGACGAAGCGCGGTGTCACTTGCCCTAACCCCAACTGTGGCTGCAAGAAAAATCTCAAAGGATATATCTTCTGTCGTCAGTGCGGGACATCACTTACGGGCAAGGGCAAAAAGCATCCACAGGAGACCTCTGATGGAGGGATTCTGTCTGCTCCACCCCTCGCTCTCGAATGGCCTCCTCTGCTCCCAGGGCCAGTCAAAGGAACCAAGGGCGGAGGAAAAGCCAAAGACAAAGGTGAGGGAGCGGGTGGGAAAGGAGGAGACGACAGGCGAGGTGTACCCGATGGGCGCACCGCTCAGGCTCCGCTGCCTCAAGGCCTCGTCACCTTCATGGATGCTGACAAAGCTCAGAAGCTGGCGGATATGGCCCGAGACGCTGGAGACCCGGTGGGTGAACAGCGCTATTTGGGCCTGGTGGCCTTGGCCAAGGCTGCCCAGCCTCGCCCACCCACCACGAAGCAGCGCATGGAGAAGTTCGAGGGCATCCAGCTGGAAATCCAGAAACAGATCCAGCAGGACCTCGACAAGCTTGACCGCTGGGCGAAGTCCCGAGACGCTGTCCTTGAGCGGGTGGCCAACCTCAAGGACCAGCTCGAGCACGCCAGGCAGGAACACAAGCAGGCGGTGCTGGATCTACAGTCCCAGTACGCCGCCGAGACCCCCAAAACGGCCCCCAAGATCAGCATCCGCGAGATCTGCGAGGGACGGCTGGATCTGGAGAACATCCTCACCATGGATGACTTCTTGGGGACCCAGGAGGCACAGGAGCTGTATGACCTCGAGTCTCAGGAGGTGGAGGAGCTCACGAAGAGGAAGGACGAAGTGGCGCAGCAAATCCAGAAGGGGTTGGCCGACTACTTCAAGGCCTCCCTCGACAAAGTCAAGGCTGCCCAGGCGGCCCAAAAAGAGCAACTCCAACGGCTCGAAGGTAAGAAGAGGAAGATTGGAGGAGGAGACCCTGTGCCAGGCACCGCAGCGGTCGGCAACGATGGTGCTGGCTCTGCTCCAGCGGCCTCTGCTGCAGCTGCTGCCGCACCCGCTGCCGCCGAGGGAACCAAGCATGCGGATGAAGGTGCGCCCACATTCGAAGAGCGCCTGGCGGCTGCGATCCAGGAGCGCGAGACGAAGAATATTTAGCAGCGATTCGTCGCGAGGCGCCCCAGGACCTCCACGATACGATCCTGCCCACCTCGAAGCTTCGCGCTCGGGGCGGGAGGTGGAGCATCGTGTGGAGGGGGGAACGGGTACTGGTTCCTCGAATGCCTCAGGACCTCTGCGTTACGATCCTGCCCGGCCTGAAGCTTCGCGCTCAGGTAGGGAGGTGGAGCAATGCATGGAGGGGGGAACGCCGTCTGGGGCATCATGCCCTTTGCGGCGGGCTGCCCTGGAGCCAATCCAGGGAACGACTACTTCGAAGGTTGCAACGATTTCGAGTGCGACGTCGAAGTTTTGGGCCCATAATATAGTGGACCTTGATTGGCCTGATACGGGTTTCCCAGTCCCCGCGATCAGGGCGCAGCCCACCGTTTCCCTGATAGGGACTTTGGAGCCTGCCGTGCCTCTGCAACAAACTTCTGCAGTCTTGGAGAGCATTGACCTCACAAGTGATGAAGTTTTGGTGCATGAACGATTTGTTGACTTGACCGCTGACGTAAGCAGTCCAGAAACGATTGACCTCACTTCTGAATGTAAAGCTTTGCTTCCGACAGTGGCGGTAAATGCTGCAGTCTCCGATGGAGCAAGTAGTGTGGACCAACCCTTAATACCTCTAGCGAGTCAGATTGAGATGCCGTATACCCTCAAACTGCACTCTCAGATCACGGCCCAAACTAGGACCGTGCACGCGCGAGGCGAAGCCACTTGGAAGCTTGCGACGGTCAATCTTACATCGGCCCAAGCGGAGGGACAGAACATCTCAGCAGTTGGAGCGATGCTTGCACGTCTGGGATTCGACGGCATGGCCATCCAGGAGCATAAACTTCTCAAGCAAAAGATTGGAGATGTCATTGCCAGGTTAAAACACGAAGGATGGCACGCAGCACTCACCTCCGCGAAAGAAGGCAAGGCGATCCATGCTGCGTCTGCAGGGGTTGGGGTCGCCATGACGGCTGACATAGCCATGGCAGCACCGCCCTCATTGGGACGATGGTTTCAGTACCCGCAGTCGGAGAGGTTCCATGCTCAGCTCTGCGAAGGAATGGTACCAGGAGGCTTCTTTTTCATCTCCTGCTACTTTTACTCAGGTACTGGTGTCGATTTGTACAACAAACACCTCCTCAGAGACGTCTTGGGATGGATCAGGGCCGTGGGGCGACCGTTTATCCTAGGGGCCGATTGGAACATGACGCCTCAGGAGCTCGTAGACCTTGGGGAGCTCAGGACTTTCCCTGCAACTATTGTGGCGCCGAATGTCTGGACATGTAGTGCAGGAAAAGGGAGGACCATCGACTATTTCCTCGTCTCTGATACTTTGCGTGGCATGGTCAAGTCAGTCTACAGGATTGAGGGCCTGCCTATTGCTACGCATTGGGGTGTTGGGATCACTTTAAAGAAAGGAGCAGGATCCAACTTGATACAACAAATGTGCCTACCTAAGCCACTGCCGACGGAGCTCCCGATGGGAGCTCCGCGGCCGCCACCTGACTATACGGAAGTTGTAAAAGAAACCGAGCTTGTTCGTGATCAGGGAGACCTGACTTGGGCCTACGCCTTATGGGCCATGCAGGCCGAAAAAGAGCTCCTTGATAGGTATCAACTTCCTCCTGATCAGGTTAGGCCGTATCAAGGGCGTGGAGATCTTGATAAACCAAAGTTAAAGTTAGTGGCAGCAATTCGCAGTACCTCTAAGGCAGTGGCTGAAGGCAGTCAGCTATCACGCTGGTGGCGCAAGGCGGGCAACACGTGCATTGACCTAGCTAATGCATTGCACCGTGGGATGGCAGTCACCACCAAGTTCATCCAGGATCGCCTCCGCACCATCAGAAAGCTCCGGAACATCAAAAACACAGATGTTACTTGGAATACCTGGATCATGCGCGCTACGGCGGAATGGTGCTTATGCGTAGACTGGCTGCGAGACATGAGCTGGGCTGCGGCAAAAGAAGCAACCAGCATTGAAATCAAGTGTGCCAAGAAGCGACTCACCCTTTGGAAACGCGAGGTACAGACGCAAGTCCAAAACACCACCGCCAAGGCGCACGCTTGGAGCAAGGCGCCGCAAACTTGGGTGCCTGCACGCGCAGAGCATCAAGGACGAGGTGTAGTTGCTCACGCACAGAGGCTCCAAGAAAATCTAGATGTCTGGAAGCAGGTTTGGGAGCATACTGATGGTGCTGCTTCCTTCTGCGAAAAGATACACGACTTCGGCGATGAGGAGCCTCCACCAAAGCTTACTCCTCAGGATGTCAGGTTTGCTGCCAGAACTTTCAGCTGCAAAACTGCCTCGGGCACTGACCGAATACGGCCTCGTTCGATGGCGATGCTTTCGGATGAGTGCCTCACGGCATTTGCTGAAGTGATGCATCAAGCGGAATGCCTCGGCAAGTTGCCTGAGCATTTACGTAACACTCTGTTGCCTCAGTTACCCAAGCCCGACGGGGGGCATCGCCTGATAGGCTTGCTCCCCGACGCGCTGCGCGTATACAATAAAGCCCGCAAGCCACAACAGGACAGATGGAATGCAGGGCATAAGAGACATTATGAATATGCCAGTGCTGGCCGCAGCACGGAACAAGCAGTTTGGAGGCAAGCCCTGATGGTGGAGACCACAAAGTCCATGGGTAAACACACAGCAGCGGTCCTAATAGACTTGGCCAAAGCGTTCGAGACCATCGATCATGACCTTCTCTGGGACTCTGCTGTGCGTCACGGATTCCCACGACGCAGAATGGCCATGCTGTTACATTGTTATGGGGGTAGAAGGTCCATCAAATTTGGATCCCACATGAGCAATGTTATCATGACCAACCGTGGAGTGATTGCAGGATGTGGTTTCGCTGTAAGCGTCATGAAATGCTTTACCATGGACATCTATGACAGAATGTATTACCTATGGCCTAGTATCGACCTCTCGGTGGTAGTCGACGACTCCACCGTGCAGGCTGGAGGACAAACAAAGGACGTAGTCAAAACTGTAACTCAGGCAGCTCAGTTTGCTTGCGAACAATTCAAGCAGCGTAGAATGAAAGTTAGCCTGGACAAAGGTCAAGTAGTTGCTAGCCATGGCAAAATTGCCAGGCAGATTGCGGTGCAGCTGTCATCTTATCGTTTTCAGCCCAAACGGATCGTCAAGCAGCTCGGTGTTGACAGACGAATGATGAGAGCTGGAAGGCCTGTTCAAAGCAAACGGGCCTTTAAAATGAAAGTTCGTATTACACGCTTTCGCAGGCTCGCGTGTGGAGGACGATCAGTGTGTCGGCTTTACAGAGCTGGAGGACTACCAGCTGTTACATATGGGATGCGTGTGCATGGCGTTCCTGATGCGCAACTTGCTAGTCTTCGAGCCACCGCTGCCTTTGCCATCTTCGGGCCACCTCGCGGGCGATCTCGGACAGTCGAGTTTATGTTGTCTGACGACCCGAAGTGTGACCCGACTTATGACGCCAACGCGCTGCCTCTGGTTACCTGGCTGAAAGCATTATGGCTTGGATGGGCCACGCCAAACCAGATGAAGATGGCCCACAGCTACGCGGTGAGCAGGCCGGCCAACTGGGGAGCAGTACTTGGACCAGCTGGAGCCGTACTCCTCACTCTTAAACGGCTGGGGTGGGAAGCCATCAGTTGGGACAAATGGTTCATGCCCAGTAATATGGCCAGCCTTATAACAGCACAGGGTTCGAGGCAGACTGCGATGCAGTCTGTCTCACCCCAAGGTCTGCTCATAGACTTGCATGAGATCGGGGTTCACACGCTGAGGAAGTTGGTGGACCAAGCCACTACTGCAAAGATCTTAAGCGAGTGCCGACTAGAAGGTTTCGAGGGAGTACCTCTACTTGAACCCGCTGCCAAATTGGTGAAAGAGCTCAGGGAAAAAGAAGATGACCAAGGTGCGGGTTTGATTCGGACATGGGTTGCAGGAGGGTTTTGGACGCAGGATCGCCTCTTCCGACATGGGGCGGCACCAAATCCCATGTGTGCCTTATGTAAACATGAAGAAGGTACCCCGTCACATCGCTTATATCGTTGTCTTTATCATGCAGCAGAAAGGCAAGATTGGTGCGGTGGTGAACGCAGGCTACTCGCACAAGGGCGTGTGGAGCACGGTGACAACCACCCCATGACGTACATTACGTGCAAGGGCCTCTTCCCTGACCCAGCTTACGACCCGAATTACGGCTTCCCACCTCCACATCCGTATGACCGTGTTGTCTGGTTCCGCGAACCGCCCAATGGAGGGTTCGAAGGGCTGGTGTGCACTGACGGATCGGGGAAGCAAGCTCACCATCCTCTTCTGGCGCGTGCTGGCTGGGCAGCCGTCATGATCGATGATCGGGGCGGGGTGTTTGGGGCTGCATATGGCCCAGTACGTTTCCCATGGACGTGCTCGGGGGCAGGCGAACTGTGGGCAGCGATCATAGCGCTCCGACACAAGGGGCCGAGAAACATCGTCATAGTCACCGACTACTTGGAACTCAAGAAAGCATGGGATCGTGGCGATGGTTCAGGTGCTCACGTTCGAAATCACCTTGGGGAACTCTGGCGTGAATTCTGGCGCCTGGTGCACGACGTTGGGCGTGAAGGCATTGATGTGATCTGGATACCCAGCCACCGCAGCGATAGTCAGAGAATTCGTGATGCGATACCTCTGGCAATGTGGTTGGGCAATCAAGCAGCTGACGAGTTTGCCAAACAGGGCGCTTTGATGCATCCCAAAAATGGGTATGCCGAAGCGCTTCGCCACGCAAGAGAGTGCTCTGCCGTTTTCACACTGCGCATGGCCCTGAGGATACTCAGGCGCTGCGCGAGGTGCGACTTCGCCGACGCTGACCCTGTTCCCTATGAAGGGCCCACTCGTGCAAGACCACTGCTGATTGACACGAGAGGGCACACTATAATAAAGCGTGGCATGAAATACTACTGCGACACCTGCGGTAGAAATCGACACACGCGCAGAGGCCTCTTGGCACAACCGTGTCAGGGGCTTCCGATGGGAGTGCGTGCTGCCCATAGTTCTCATAGACTATGGCGCAACGGGCCTCTTGTTTTCTGTGCCCAATGCGCTGCGCGATGCGAGACGCGCGCGCATCTAATCGCTAAGCCATGTATAGGACTTCCTGTACCTGGCACTAGCCGATTCTACAAACGCCGCTACCTGTTACAGGGCAAGGGCCCCAACGGGGAGCGGCTCGCCAACAGCGGGCGACCCACGCCCGTACGCCGCTGATGCTTTGGGCACCGGCCGTAGCTACTAATAGTGGCTGCGGTGCGCGCAGCGTTGCTGTTTTGGCCGCCCTGGCCGAAAGGGTGGGCCGCCTAGAGCACTTCGTTGCTACGCTGTCTCGCACCATAGACTCTATGAACTTTATTGTTGTTGTATTGGCTTTTCACCCAGCTTGCCTGCGTGAATCGTCGTCATCGCCGAACCTCGCCGAACCTCCTCCTCCTCCTCCCCCTCTTCCTCCTCCTCCTCCTCCTCCTCCTCCTCTTCCTCCTCCTCGTCCTCCTCTTCCCGCACCCCTCTTGCCCCCCCCCCTGCCCCCAAGTCCCCCCCCGCCCGTCACGCGGTCGCGCGCCCCCTCCCCCGCGCGGCAGGTCCTGGAGGCTGCGGGGGGCGCGCCGCTGGCGGCTGCCCTGGACACCAGCCAAGGCCGCGCCCTCGACGCCGTCGCCGTCGCCGTCGCCGTCGCCGTCGCCGTCGCCGTCGCCGTCGCCGTCGCCGTCGTCGTCGTCGTCGTCGTCGTCGTCGTCGTCGTGAAGTGGTTGGGCGCAACGGCGGCGAAGAACATTGGCGCATCGTCGTGGGCGTCGGCCTCGTCGTCGTCGTGATGTCGTCGTCGTCGTCGTCGTCGTGATGTCGTCGTCGCCGTCGTCGTCGCCGTGACGTCGTCGATCACGGCGACGACGAAGCCGTCATCGGTGTCGGCGGGGCCGAGGGAACCGGAGAACAACAACGAAGGGCACACACATACATTTTCCGGAGCTCAGCGCGGGCTTCCTGCATCGGCGTTGTGGCCAGCCCTGGCGCGCTCCGCGCGCTGGGGAGGGGGTGCCAGCGCCGATCCAGGAAGTTTGCGCCAGCCTCCGAGGGAGGAGGGAGGAGGCGGGATGAGGGAGGAGGAGAAGAAGGAGGAGGAGGAGGAGGGCGAGGAGGAGAAGGAGTAGGAGGAGGACGAGAAGGAGGAGGGAGGGAGGGGGGGGGGAGGGGCGAGAGGGAGTGGCGGCGGCGGCGGAGCTACAGCGGGGTCTCCCGGGGCAGTTGCCCCGAAACGGCGGCCCCCGGCCAACGCGTGTGCTGTCAAAGGCCGGGAAGGGAATGTGAGAGAGAGGACGAGGGAGGAGGGGGAATGGACGGAGAGGAGGAGGAGGAGGAGGAGGAGGAGGAGGAGGAGCAGGAGGAGGAGGAGGAGGAGGAGGGAGGAGGAGAAGGGAGGTGGAAGGACAAGAAAAGAGGGAGCCAGGGGGGATGGGGTGGGGGAGGGACGGGAAGGCCGGGGAGGGGATGGTGGCAAGTTAGGTGCGCTCGCGTCAACATCTGACATCCTACACCTCCCTCCCATCCCTTACCATGGCGCTGATTTTCTCTATCCGCGGACGCGTGTCGTAGCGGACCTGTGGCTCCGCGCGCGTGTGCGTAGTGGGTGGTGGTGCGCGTGCGTGCGTGCGTGTGTGCGTGGTTGTGGTTGTTGTGGTGGTGGTGTGTATGTGTGTGTGTGTGTGTGCGTGTGTGCGCGTGTGCTGTGGTGTGACGTGGTGTGGCGTCTTGGTGGTTTGGTGGTGGGCCAGGTGCGTACGTGCGTGATGGCGGTGGTGGTGGTGGCGGTGGTGGTGTGTGTGTGTGTGTGTGTGCGTGTGTGTGTGTGCGTGTGTATGTGTGTGTGTGCGTGCGTGCGTGTGTGTCTGTGTGTGCGCGCGTGTGATGTGGTGTGACGCGGTGTAGCGTGGTGGTGGTGGGTGGGGTAGTGCGGTGGTGGTGGCGGTGCGCGGTGGTGGTGCGCGTGCGTGCGTGCGTGCGTTGGTGGGTGGAAGTGGCGGTGGGTGTGCGTGCGGCGGGGCGGGGCGTGGTGCGGCGCGGTGGTGGCGGGCGGATGGGCGCGCGAGAAAGAGGCCCGCGCTGGGGCGAGAACGCCATCCTGAACGACGGAGGCAAAACACCGATCCGAAAATGAGGCCCACGCTGCAGCGGGAGCACGATTCGGAACGATTCGGGAGCAGAAATGAGGCCGGCGCCTCAGCGAGAGCAGCATTTTGAAAAAAGCGCAGGCGAAAACCCAACTCCTGGGAATCCTGTGTGTGAAAAACAGTACGCGGGGGGGGTCTGCTACTCCCAGCACGCCATCAGGGGAAGAGGGAGAGTAGTATTCATATTGAGTAATTGTACAAGGGAGCTGCTGCGATCGTGGCATCGGCGCTCCAGCCCTTCCCCGGTCTCGCCGTCTTGCTTCCAGTCCGCCCTTCTCTTCCTCGGGCCTTCCCCGTATCGCTCCTCGTCCTCCGTCTACGCCTCCTCCGTCATCGTTTCCTTCCCTTCCTCGTCGTGCTTCTCGACTGCCGCTTCTCTGTGCGCGTTTGCACGTGACCTCGGTGTTTCGATGATGTGTTGCGCAGGTCAAGATTTGAAGCAGGTCACGGTGAAAATGCACGAATTTTGATTGCAGCCGCAGGACACGAACATAAAACCGATAAACCGATAAACCGATAAACCGATAAACTATTTCGGTTGATCGGTTTATCGGCAGATCGACCGATAAACCGATATGATTATATCGGTTTATTGGTCGATCTGCCGATAAACCGATCAACCACTAAACCGACTCATCGCACGCGTGCCCGAATCTCAGCACAGTTTATCAGTTTATCGGTTTATCAGTTTATCGGTTTATCGGTTTATCGGTTTATCAGTTTATCGGTTTATCCGAAATAGTTTATCGGTTTATCAGTTTATCGGTATATCGGATGTTTCGGTTTATCGGTTTATTGGTTGATCGGTTTATCGGCCCGGCGTTGTCGTGGTTGTCCAATGGGTAATCCTTCGAAATTCTCTCTCCTCTTCCTCCTAGTCCTCCCCTTCCTCTTCCTCCTAGTCCTCCTCCGCCTCTGCCTCCTCCTCCTCCTCCTCCTCCTCCTCCTCCTCCCTCTTCCTCCTCCCCCCTCCTCCGTTCCGATCCTCCCTCCCTCCCTCCCTCTCCTCCCTCTCCTCCCTCTCCTCCCTCCCTCCCTCACTGGCCCCGACGCCCATGGTTCTCCTAGTCCTCCCTCCCCCTCTTCCTCCTAGTCCTCCTCCGCCTCCCCTTCCTCTTCCTCCTAGTCCTCCTCCGCCTCCGCCGCCTCCTCCTCCTCCTCTCCTCCTCCTCCTCCTCGGATTATAATCAGGATGGCGATGATGATGATGATGATGATGATGATGGTGATGATGATGATGATGATGATGATGATGCTGATGATGATGATGATGATGATGATGATGATGATGATGATGATGATGATGATGATGATGATGATGATGATGAGTGGGAAGATGATGGTGTTGATGAAGATGATGATTATGCTTAGTAAGAAGGTGATGATGGCGGTGGTGGTGGTGATGTGGGCGGTGGTGAGGATGATGCTGAAAAGTCGGAGGATTATAAGGCGTCTTGGGGCCGTGTTTGCCGTCTTTGGGGGCGTCGTTGGGAGACGTGAAGAAGCCACCTTCGGCCGTCCACGTGCCCTGTGAAAACCATCTTAGGCTCTCGGAGGTCCTTGACGGCCAGCTTGAGGCCCTCTTGTGCCCGTGATGCACTCTCTCCAAAATTGTTCTCGCTTCGCGTATCCCCACCAGCCCATCCAAAAACAGTCGCCAGGCGAGTTGACCCGATCAGGGATGTGTAGCATCATCTGGCCCAGCAGTGATCCACATCCGCTGTTGAGGTGGAGCAATCGGAGTTGAGAGAAGAGGAGGCATGCGGAAAAGGAGGGTGGAAGGAGCAAAAGGGAGGAAGGCGGGCAATGATGAGCAGGAGGGGGAGGAGGATGAGGAGGAGGGGGAGCCGGAGGAGGAGGATAACAAGTAGCATGCGTATGCAAATATATAGGTGGCGAAGAAAGGCACGACGACGATGACGAGCAATACGACGACGACCACGACGACGACGACGACGACGACGACGACGACGACGACGACGACGAGAGTCAACCACCAACATCCTTCGCTCTGAGAGCGTCGCGTATTGGAAGCCTCTTGGGGCCATCGCGGGGCACTCTGAGGCCCATGTTGCAAGCCTCTGGAGCCCTCATGATGCGCTCTTGGGGTCCCTCTTGGGCTCTTGGGGCGCTCTTGGGGCCCTCTTGGAAGCCTTGGGTGCCCTCTTTGGGCTATCCTGGAGGCCTCTGGGGCCTCCTGGTGCTCTCTTGGGGCCCTCTTTGGGCGCTCTTGGGGCCCTCTTGAGGCCATATTTGATGCGTTGAAGGCCTTCTTGGGGCAATCGATCATATAAGGAGGGGGGTCCTGAAGTCACCCCCCCCCCCGTCGGGACCCGAAAATGTGCCTCTTGGGGCCCTCTTGGGCCGCTCTTGGGGCGGTCTTGAGCGCTCTTGGGGCGGTATTGGGGCCCTCCTGGGCCCCTCTTGGGGCCCTCTTGGGCCATCATGGAGCCATCTTGAGGCCTCAGGGGCCCATCGAACGCGAAAAGGCGATGATGCAGAAAACTGTGAAAAAACACAAGGGATTTCAAAGATTTTGGCCTCTTGATGGGTTCCTTGGAGGGCTCGACAGGCACTTGGAGCCGTCCTGGGGCGGTCTCGAGAGCTCTTGGATGCATGTTGAAAGCTATCTTGAACCATCTTGGGCTATCTTGCAAGATATTGGAGACCATCTGGGGCTCTTGGAGGCCCTCTTGCAGCCATATTGGGCCATCTTGGGCGCTCCAATTCCTCGCGAAACCCTCCCTCCAGGTCCAGGGTAGGGGGTAGGGGGAGGGGAAGCCCCCTCCCCGAAGGGGAAGGAGAGGGTTTAGCAGAACGAGCTCGTTAGACCACTCACGCCCTAAAGAGCTGGTGGGATTTATTCGGGCTGTCCCAAGGCCTTCTTTGCATGTTCAGCATGTTCGCTGCCATGTTCAACCGTCGCAGTGCCATGTTGGAGCCCTCTTGGCGCGTATTGAGCCGCGGGAAACCCGAATAAGTTGCAATGGCTGAAATCTTCGGAGCGTGCATGCTGTTTTCCTGATCGGGCATTGAGGTTCCCTGGGGGGGCCCCCGGGGCCGTCATGGGGACAGAGCCTCGGAGAAAGGGAGGCCGTGCACGCGCCGGGACGCTGATAGAGAGGGGGGTTCTTGGAAGATCACATAAGCTCATCCAGACAGCACAAGGCATTCGAGCACGCCTCAAAATGCCAAGACGCGCAATGGCGGGTAAGTTCTTCTTCATGGAGAATTCAAGTTGCGCGATCCGCAAGTATTTACAGCCTTCGGCACATGCCGCCGCAGTGCCTGGGTTTGGGTCACAATCCACAAGGGCGCATTCTTGGGGCCACTTGAGCGCTTCTTGGGGCACCTCCTGGAGCTGCCCGAGCCCCTTTTGGGCAATCTCTGGGGACGTGTTGGGGGCTCCGCGAAACCTCATGGGAGCTGTTTGGCGCCGAGAGTTCCCAATGTCACTTCGGGTCCCACGTTTTTCCCCTTGTTGCACCCGCAGCGGAGACTCGCCTGGGAGATTCGAGGATATGGGGTCCGAGCCCTCTGGGAATCCTTGAGCATGAGCACTGAGGACTACATGGAGACTTCATGGGACTGAATACTGAGAACTACATCGTGCCTCGGGGTACGGTGGCGGTTCGAAACGACGGCCGCAAGCAACTCTTGCCGAGCGTGAGTTGGGCCGTGTTGGTAGAGCGCTACGCCTGCCCACAGAAGGAGCAGGAGTACAAGCGCGTGCTCCAGATCATCGCCGCTTTAGCAGCGAAGCCAGAAACCGTAGTCGTCATCATCAGCACTGTCCCCATCGCCATCGTCGTCGCCATCGTCATCGTCGTCGTGGTGCACCCCCCGACCCCTCGAGCACCAAGGCTTCCTGGCCTTCGGGAGCCCCCGTCGCCGCGGCCGGACGCGGCGACAGAGACGGGTGTCTTTTGACTCTGGGAAAAATCCGGGGACCCTTTTTGGACGTTTCTGGGTCGGGGGGTGCACGACGACGCAGCGTGGTGCACCCCCCGACCCCTCGAGCACCGAGGCTTTGTAGCCTTTGGGGGCCCCCCTCGTCGCCGCGGCCGGACGCGGCGACAGAAGCTGGTGCCTTTTGACCCTGGGAAGGGTCCGGAGCCTTGTTCGGGACGGATCTTGGGTCGGGGGGTGCACGACGACGACGACGGCGACGACGCCGTCGCAGCCGCCGCCGCCGCCGTCGCCGCCGCCGCCGCCGCCGCCACCGCCGCCGCCGCCGCCGTCGTCGTCGTCGTCGTCGTCGTCGTCGTCGTCGTCGTCGTCGTCGTCGTCGTCGTCGTCGTGGTACACACCCCCGACCCTTCGAGCACCGAGGCTTTCTGGCCTTCCTGGGCCCCCCTCGTCGCCGCGGCCGGACGCGGTGACAGAGGCTGGTGCTTTTTGACCTTGAGAAGAGTCCTGGGGCCCGATTGGGACGGATTCTGGGTCGGGTGGGCGCACGACGACGACGGCGACGACGCCGTCGCCGCCGCCGCCGCCGCCGCCGCCGCCGCGTCGTCGTCGTCGTCGTCGTCGTCATCGTCGTCGTCGTCGTCGTCGTCGTCGTCGTGGTGCACCCCCCGACCCCTCGAGCACCGAGGCTTTGTGGCCTTCGGGGCCCCCCTCGTCGCCACGGCCGGACGCGGCGACAGAGGCTGGTGCGTTTTGATCCTGGGAAGAGTCCGGGGACCCGTTCGGAACTGATTTGGGTCGGGGGGTGCACGTCGACGACGACGGCAACGACGCCGTCGCCACCGCCGCCGCCGCCGCTGCCGCCGTCGTCGTCGTCGTCGTCGTCGTCGTCGTCGTGGTGCGCCCCACGACCCCGCGAGCACCGAGGCTTTCTGGCCTTCGGGGGCCCCCCGCGTCGCCGCGGCCGGACGCGGCGACAGAAACTGGTTCCTTTTGACCCTGGGAGAGGTCCGAGGACCCGTTTTGGACGGATTCGAAGTCGAGGGGTGCGCCACG